TCCCTTCCCTCCCCTCACCCTGACCATTTCCCCTCCTCTCTCCCTCCCTTCCCTCCCTCACCCTGACCATTTCCCCCCTGCTCGGGTCATGACCCAACTGTGCAGCGCCTTGGGACGTCCTCCTGACGTGAAAGGCGCTCTATAAATGGAATCTTGTTGTTGTTGTTGTTGTTGTAGATGTTTGTAAGAGAGCATAGGTGAATTACCCTCTGATCTTTACCTCCATTCTTACGGGGGATATCCTTGCCTCCACTCTTGTTGTTCAATAACTAGCTGGCTGCTGGGTTTGAGAATCACAAAACTGCAAGCCTTTTACTGAATAATTGTTTCTAATTGTCTTTCATTTAATGTGAAAAATTTTATATTTAATAATAATTTAACAATTTTAAAAAATGACAATTTTAGGGACATTACTGAAATATGTTTCTGCAGTACTGTGTATCTGTCGTTTTCAAGTAGTTGATAAAAAATTGCTTGTATCCTTTATACCTATTTGTCTCACTTAACTGAATGAGCTTTTTGCATTTCCCTTAATTTGTAAGATAAGAAATAACGAGGTGAAAAAATACAATGTTGTGGTATAATGTGATAATTATGGCATTTTCACCACAGTCTATCCAGAACATGCATTATATTTGTAAATAATTTGGAAAATAATGAATTACTGGTTGTACACGCTTTGATGGCATTAAAGGGGATGTGTTGGCAGTAATGGTAGTTAGATGGGGAATAACTGGGAGAGAAATCCAGTCTATTCAAGCCTATATGTCATGTAGAGCTGCCAATCGCCTTTCAATTTCCCAGAACATTTTGCACATCAGTGAAGGAAAAAGCAAAGTGAAATGGAGTCTCAAAGCTTGTATACATCTGGAGGTTTACTGTGCCTGTCTCTCAGTACATGACCTCTCACCTCAATACGGTTTATCAAATTATTGGTTTGAGATCTCAAATAATGCCTCTCTAATTATCTAGTGGTTCAGAAAATTGTCCAGCTCCTTCTTTGTATAACTATTGATTACCTTTCAGTAAATGAGATAATTTATTTCACAGAATGTTAACCGTCTGAATCTAGAATAGATTGCAATCTGTAACTGCCCTAGCACAGTCCTCCCTTCCTTCCTTCAATTCTAGTTAAAGGATTTTAAAGCAAACCCTTTTAATGGAGAGTTTCTCAGCTAAGAAATGTTTGTTTGAAATAAGTACTACCAAACATTAGGCTTGAATGTGCTCTTGTTTTCAAATCCTTCCACATTGCTCCTCCATCCTGCCTTCACAGTCTTCTCCAACCTTATGTTCCAGAGGCACTCTTCACTCTGCTGATATTGATCAGCTATTGGTTTTGAGGAAGCTATTAGATGCAGTACCCAGCAAATTGAGGTGCTGAATTTCAGGAAGCTGGAGGCACCCAGGCTGGAAGTTAGAGAAATGAGGGGTAGAACAGATACATTTCTGAATTTGTTAGAGCGCCTGACATTTCGTAGTGCTGTCATTGAGTGAAGATTGTGTTGCTGTTTTACAAATTCAATGTGATTAATAAATTGGTTATTAACATTGTAAAAATATTCAGAGCATGACAAAGGATGTATTAAATATCATTTTTTTAAAAAAATTGAAGAATGGAATAATAATAAATAAATTCTTAGATTTTTATATAGCGCCTTTCATGTTGGGAGGATGTCATAAAGCGCTTCATATGTCCTGTAAAGTGTAGTGACTATGTGTGATTATATCTTGCACAAGTTCGGAGTGATGTTATCACTTACCTGTTTATCGACCAATCTTAAAGGTTTGACTAGTGACCCTAAAGCATTGAGATTGTAAGCGTATTCTACTTCAACTTAAAATATGTTATCTAAACTTTGTGTGCACACAAATATAACATATTCATTTTAATAATGCAAACAATTCTAACATTCCATCGATGACTAATCTTGCATTTCTACCAAAACTGTCAAGATAGCTGCTTCATATCATTTTGATTTCAGTGATAACCCTTCATAAGTCTTGTTGACATATCTGTTGACAACTTAATGTTCCACTTTGGATTGAAAGGAGAGGGTCATAGAAAAAAGTGGCCTTGCCAGCTCACCACCCTGCTATGTGTGTTAGGACTACAGTCATGGAGTAGCCTTACCTAGACTGTTCATCCTTACAGTATAAGAATGCTGCATGGAAACAATGTACTCTTGATTAATCAGTGATTAATCAATTAATTGATTAATCCAATTGCTTCTAATTGTCTTTCATTTAATAAAAAATATGTTGCTTTGCTTATTATCATTTTACTTTCATTTGTTCAGTCATTCTTTTCGTTCAAGTATTTTATTTTGACATTGTTTTGTTTTAATTTGCTCCAATCATGCAGTTCATCGCCGTTTCCATCTTAGTCCCATGGAAAATGTCCTAATCAGTCGTCTGCTGACTCCCACACATTCTTCTTTAGCACGCAGCAGAAGTACTGCTTTTTTGTCATGTTGTGGCTCACATCATTCAGGTAAATGGCAAGGTTTAAAGGTTAGCCTTTAGAGCATATGTTTTCTTCCAAATCGTTCTTGCTTTTAAGCTCTATTGTTTTAATGAATGGAAGGGTGGAGGTTTACAGTCTTTAACTTGACTACATTTTTAAATACAGTAATAATCCTTGCATTTGTTATAGTTCTTTTCATGTTAGATGGACATCCCAAAGAACTTCACAGGATATAAAGTAAAGTGTAGTTACTGTGTGTTTTGTGTGTGAACACGGCAGCCAAGTTGCGTACAGCAAACAAAGTCATGGAGTGAGAGACCAATTTTATTGGGGGATTGTTGACCAGGACACTTGGAGAAACTCCCTTCTCTTTTCGCATAGTGCCATGGAATATTTAATGACTGCTTGAACAAGCAGTGAGGGCCTGCTTATTTAGCAGCTCATCTGAAGAAATGCCACCTCCGTCAATGCAGCACATCCCCAGCACTGCATTGTAGCATCAATTTAGTTCCAAGTCCTGACATGGGGCTTGAACCCACAACCTTCTGACTCAGAGACGAGAGTGCTATCAACTGATCCAGGCTGACACACAAATATTTGAAAATAAATAAAATGAGAATTATTAATGCTTAAAAGGTAACATTAATACAGAAATATATTCTTGTAACGCATCTTACAAATATAGTCAACGGGAATAGAGTACCAGTAATTTTTACATACTGCCACATGCTCCCAATACTTTCAGAAAGAAGATTATGCAGGTAATTTCCAGTAAATTAATTTTAACCCAAACTCAGATACTAACGAGGATACATTACAAAATCATTACTATTTTGCCTCTTACCGGATCACAGATGTCCATTGTCTTAATAGCTCCCAAACTGGCTATATGTCACACAAAGTGAGCTTTGACTTCTCATTACTACAGCGCACCACTTATTTTCAAGATCATAAGAAAATATTGGAACAAGACAAAATATCTAAAATAGTTTCATTTTAACTTAATTAGCTATGTTCAATAATGTTTGAGTGTATACAAATTGCATTCCTACATAAAATATATTCAACAATGATCGGTAAATTTATCAATACTGAAGATGAATTTAGTATTGTAACTAAACGCCAAAACCAGAACTGTCTCAATTTAGAACCACTTGCATTTAATTTAGATTCAATCTAGAAAGTTTTAGTTGAGTATATAATAATAATAATCCTTGCACTAATATAGTGCTTTTCAGATCTTCTAGACGTCTCAAAGCATTTCACAGATGTACTGTAAAGTGAATTGACAACATTTTTGTGGGCGAAATTCTGCACAACAGTGACCCACAAACAGTCGTGGATTGAGTGACCAAATTATCATTGTTTATTTTCTTAAGGGATTATCATCAAGGGTGTGGAGCAAGGAAACTTGCCCAAGGTTTCGCCCTGCAGGGAATTGAACCCAGGTCTCTCGCTTGCGAGGCGAGTGTTCTAACTACTGAGCTAGAGAAAATACAAACTCCATACTATATACTAAAATATGACAGTTGTTTATGTAATGCTTTGATGACAGAAGGGAGTCGATGAGTAATGATAATACATTCTGGACATATGAGAAAAGACAGCTCATTTTGATCAAAACAACTTGTTGCATCCTTCAAATTGTGTAGTGCTGTCCAATTCAGAGCAAAAACACTATAATATTTCTGCAATTTGGTGTTAATTCTCAATACGTTTGCAGAACAGACTCGCTGAGAAACCATGTATTTAAGCCGTTAAAAAAAAATCTGACGTTGCATTCTTTTCAAACAAAAATATTAATTAACTTCTCTTTTCCATGAGTAAATCTTGTAATCCTTTTCCAGCCCATTATTCCAAAAGATGTAGAGGATAAATAAATTAATAGATTTAGTAGATTCATTTAATTTTTTTCAGTTGTGATGAATCACTATCTGTAGACGCTGGTAATGTGGACCTGGATTTAAATTCTAACCTCAGCTATAGTTGAAACTTGATCTGTGTTAACAGTTGCATTAGGTGATTAGGCGCATCAAGATAGGGTAGCCTGGTTTTGGGAGGTGGAGAAGAGAACCTATTGCGCTGTACTGCTAAAATTTACAAACACTTGAAAGGAAATTAAACCTCATCCCCTGAATCAAGGCAGTTCTAAAGCACTGGCAGTATTTTATGTCTGTCCCACTTTGATCACAAGATTGGTTTGGACGAAGGAGGCCCTTATACCCATCTGATCTCATCCTTCCAAAATAACCATCCTACCGTCTTCCCATCACAAGATTGAGCTGATTTTTTTAAATGCCACCAGTGTCCTGACCTCAACTATACCTTCTGGTAACCCGCTTCAGTTTTTAATGACCCTCTGGATAACTACTCTTGTGATGTATTTCTTGGTGTCTGTCCTGAAATTGCCTGTAGGTGATGGTATTGAACAATAGATTGCTTCATGAGGTAGAATGTTCTAATGTTAACGTTTTGTTTCCTTCTTTTTCCTCTGCAATCTTTTACTCTGTTCTACCAAACCTTAACTCCTTAGTGTCCCATGTCTGTCCTCGTGCAGTCTCAGGTAGCCCCTTCAAGACCAAATCTACACACAGTCGAAGTGGCGATAGACAGAATGCAGGAGCCACCTCCACCTCACCAGGGGAGACCAAAGGGACGATTTTTTCAGAACTCCAACAGGTAGTGAAAGATATACAAGTGTAATGATATCAGTGCAAACATAAAATTGATGATATTTTAAACTTCACATCAGTACGGTCTGTTTCTATTTTACCCTGCTGCACCGTTATTGCTTATGGGTGTTTCAAAGCTGCTTTCAACAAACATGAAATTTATAATAATAAATTTATAATGCCAAGTAATTTCTCATTTAAAATTTAAAATTGACTCTGTGGCAGAGTCAATTACCACGTTTAACACGTTTTGTGATACTATTTTCAATCCTATTACAGTATTAACAGAATGAGGGCAATTGTTAAATTAATCATTTTAAAATTAAACTCACTTTTTAAAAAAAATAATTGTGAGGGTTATTCGGTTCCTTGCACTTGGTGTAGCAAATTTGTAAATGGACGGGCTCCATTGAAAAAATTTAGAAACTTTGTTCCTGTCTGGTCGTATTAAAAAAAAATGCAATTCAATAAGTATAGTTGCATTTTATATTTATAACGCCAAATAATTTCTCATTTAAATTTGTATTACTGTGTTTTTATTTACAAGCTGCAAGGAAAAATATCGCTAAGTGTACTGAATAATAATAATAATCCTTGCATTTGATATAGAGTCTTACCATGGAGCAGAATAGTGTTTATAATAAATTCACCTACATCGAATAAATTTAGCAGATCAACCCCTGCTCCCCCTCCCAATTTTTGCAGTGATAGATGATTTAGGTGTGTTACAGATATCAGTATCAATAGACTTAATTTAGTTTAAAATTCATGCATAGTTCCATTCAGTGATGGTTCCTATACATATCTGTAATCCATCACCATCCTTATTTTGTATATTGTTTGCAAAAATGCTTCTCCTTTTGTTTCTGTTCATATAAAAAGATTAGGGTCATGCTATTATGAGTTTGCCAGACAAAGAGAAACAAGGAACAGTGAGTGGGTGCCAAGTCAGGTACAGCTCTGCAGTGAACACCTAAACCTGGATATAGAATCTTGAATATAGAAATTGTAATTTGCAAAAGGGATCAATTTTCAAAATTGGACAGCAAGTTTGGACTCAGAAATATTCAGAAATGTTATAAATAAAGAATTAAAAAATTCTAATGCACTTAAACAGATTAAGTTATTTTGAAAATTGCAGCATTTTTCTTTAACAGCTCAGTCAATAAAGGCAATATCATGCTGTGGTTTTCAGCCATGTGTTTCCAACAACAACAACAAAATTACATTTGTATAGCCTTTCACGTCGGGAGGACATTACAGGCTCAATTACGGGTATTTTCCGATTTAGCCAATCTCAATTGAAGCAATAAATATGATTGGTTTAATTGACCTCATCATCTCTGGAGTGGGGAGAAACAAAATGTCCGTAACCTCTGAATCTGATAGCTATTCAATGATCCGTGCTGGAAATGTGTTTGTGAGCATTGAGGGTGGACTTAGGTATAACATCCACCAAACAGCTCATGCCCACTGGGCTGCTTAGGCGTAGATGGAAAATAGACACAGAAGAGTTGTGGGTACCATAGAGCCCTCCAGAATGAGGTATCATCTTTAGAGATGGGACTTAGATTATTATTGTAAAAAAAAGACGCTGCAGAATTTCTTTGAACAGTGGAAGTACTATTTGACATTATATGCACATTGGTCCGAACTGAATTGATCTACGTTTCGGATTTTTAAACTCGTTTGCAGTAACAACCTACTTTGAAAGCCTTGCTTTGACAGAGAAGTCATGCTGGTTGCTGCAAATTCAATCACGCACCAGCAAACTTATCTGTTTTACCAACAACTTTCTCTATATTTCTTTCTTTTTTATTGAAACTAAGCTAGATTTGTAGCCCCCGGTACAATAATGGCACCATGCTGTTGATGACGTGCATGCAGGATTGACCATGTACATTACAAGACACTACAGTATACTATTGAGATACTGTCCCTTAACATTTACACTGTAGCTTTGCGTCATGCATTGTAACTGCATCCAATTATTGGAAAACATAGTCAGGGTTTTTCACCTGGATTTTTAAAGCCAATTCTGAGAAAATCTTTTAGATCCAACCTGTGTCCTTCTCTCTGGTTGAGCTAGCATTATTTTAGCTTGATGGACTGAATTGCCTACTCCTCCTAGGCTAAAATGTATATGATTACTACTTCTTTGATAAGCAGTGATGTTAATGCCACAGAACTGTAACAATCAGTTGTATTGTGTACCATCCAATGATCTCAATTATTTTAACACTTGCAACTTGTGAACACTTATTATCACTCCAGGTAGCTCAGGATAACCCACATTTAGGTCAAAATATAAGCAATTTACTACATTGATAGGCTGTACTAATATTTGAATCAGTACTTGGAGAAAATAAAGATCTTTCTGATGTTTTATGTCGGCTGAAGTATCCTGGAGGGGATTCAGTTTTAATTTTGTTAATGTCAATGGTTAACAAAATTACAGCCATTTGCTCAATTCCTATGGTCAGGTAAGGGATTTTAGTTTTATTGATGTCTCTTCCATCTCATTCCATCTCCCATCTCGATGTAATGTTCTGTAGGATAGTTGGAAGTAGATTTGCTCCTAGTTTCACTGGTTGAACCACTGCAGATGCCAGAGAATTAAATGTTCTTCTCATAATTGATATTCAGAAATATTAATGTATGACTATCCAGAGGATTAAATAGATATAATGTCAGCCAATTCTGTGAGAAATAATTTAGTTTAATGAGAGATTTCCGTTTAAATTTCTTTTTACACATTATGCATTGTACTCTGTGCTCTGAAAGTTGGCAGCCAACCTGTTGCCAAGACCTCTGCTGCTGCTGCTTTTTCTTACCATTCAGTAAAAGATAGATAGGAGTAAGATTGATTTGCCTCATCTTTTACTCTCTCCATCAGGGGAAACGGCTTGGCTCTTCTCAGTTGTTCATTTATGAAATCAAGCATAGGGTTTGTTGGTGTACCAATTAGCAATCTGTTTTTTTTTATTACACCCCCAAACCCTCACATTACCTTAGCAAATGCCGATCACAGGTTGGAAGCAACTGAATCTTTGTTATGTCATGCTGTGGCGAATTCAGTAGCAGAAGGAAAATGCAGATTGCAGCTATCATAACAGTATGCAAACTGATTCAAATAATTTACAAGATAAAAGAATTTCCATTTTTATAGACAGAATTTATAAATCCAATTATAAGAGTTCAGAGTTGAAATTTCAGAAAGCTGTCTCAAATAGTGTATTAATACAGTGCATTGGAATTTCAACGTGTCTGAGTAAATGGCTGTTATATAAGCAAGACCGTGTACATGTTGAATTTTGTTTTGGCCTTTGAATGTTTTTCCTTAGATTTCATCACACAAAAAAATGTTTCTTGTTAGACAGAGAAAGTGAAAAAGGAGAAACGTCAGTCATCCCCCAGCTTGACGTCTACACTCCGTAGGTCTCAGTCTCCGGCAAACATGTCTAAAAGGTCATCTTCACCGGCAGCAGTAAAGTGAGTAGTTTATAACCTCAGTTAAGGCATTGCAGAAACCCTATCTTGTGATACAATGAGTAAAAAGCACTAGGACAGAGGATTTTATTGTATGAATATTGCATATGATGTAATTTATTTCCCTCTGGGTGCTTGATCATATGAGTGAGTTACCAAAGCATTATGAACGAGACACAATTCACATCCCAGGTCTTCATGATGTGTTTTTCTTATCATGTGTCTAAAAAATAATTTTGAAAAGAACCTTAATGTGCTTAAGTGCTCTGGGATGCTAGCCAGAGAAAGTGAAAAGGAGAAAAGTCAGTCATTCCCCAGCTTGCATTAGTATAGGGTGAGGGGTGCTATATAATTGCAAGTTTTTGTTGTTGTAACCATCTTTTCCTGTGGAGAGTTTTCAGATCCCCCAAAACCTTTCCTAAAATTCAAATTTTGTTGCTTTATTTTGCTAAAATCAAAAGGGTGAGATGTACCAAACTCATGTTTCATACATATAAAAAGATGCGGCTTTTACACCAGACGCCTGACATATCTCATGGTCTTAGCCACAAGACTTTGGCCTTGCCTTAGCCTTGTATTGTATATGGGGAATTCACTGCTTAGAGGAATATAGATATACACATGAGAGAGGAGGTAATAGAAGAGTATGAGAGGGAGTAAGGAACTCTTTGTAAATCTATTATGCCGAACTTTAGAAAATTCTTAACTTCAGTCTTAGTTTGGAATCTGATTTTCCCTAGTTTTGCCAGGAGTGAAAAATAAATGATTATATTTTGATATAGATTTCCCTTTTCTCTTATTATAAGATCTTTTCCCATGTTACACATTAATACTAAGTTTGTCACCTTTTTGAATTGTCTAGGTTTTTTGAGATACCTGTTGAAGGGCCAAAATCAAAAGTGCAGTAGACTATTAAAGTTGAAAAGAGCAGTTACTAAACCAAAGAAAGTTCAAAGAGGAATGAAACTCCTAGGAACGAGTTGGCATCTTCAGGACATGTGGGGATGGGAGGAAAACTGGCGAGAAAGAAGTGTTAATGTGTTGAAAATGTTTGTTTGTCACGGAAAGGAAATTTTTTCTTTTACATTGACTTTGTATAAAATGTAATTGTTACTTTAGCTTTTTCTATTGTGCTTTCCCCTCCGCCCCCTAATAGGGCTAGTTCGAAGATTCGCACACAGTCACCCAGTTCTGGCAAAGAGTACCCATCATCTCCAACGTCAAGTGGAAAACCTTCTCCCATGAGACAGCGGTCATCCTCTAATGCTGCTGCAGAGACTAGCAGAAAGAGGGCTGACAAGGAGAAAGGGGAATTAGCCAAGCAGAAATCTGAGGAGGCTGCAGCAGGTGAAATTAAGTCACCAGATCTACCTGGCAATGTTACTTCAGCACCGACAACACCAGTCAAAGAGCATGACAAGAAGAAGATCATTCACGCTGAAGGTTACAGATTATTTCATTTTCAAAAGAATGTTTAGAACACAGGAGAATTATGGATTGATATCTTTAAAGTCATTTTTATGCAATATAATGGTTCTGTGTGTGTGAGTTTTGGGAGCAGGTGTGACTTGACAATTTCACTTACCCGCATGATTTATTCCTCCCTTGTAGGGTAATGCTTGGGAATAGTTAATGGTGTGCAGTGAAACAATTCTAATTTCAAGACACTAAAAAGGTTCAGCCCTGTATTACAGCACTGTGGTAGAATGTTAGGATAATAGGTTTCACCAGAAGTTGAATACATTTAAACAGTTTAAATAAAAGTAGAATAAAGCAATAGATTTGATTCAAGCGGACACACTAGAGTTGAAAATGGACACAAAACAGGAAAACTACAACACAAAACGAATGAGTGCTGAAAGAACCCCTGAGGCAGGGAAACCATGTACATCATGCTGACCATAAGACTCTGTTCTGAGACCATTTCCAGTCAGAGGCAATTTCTTGATGGTTGATGTGAAGCTCGTGTGGTGGAGGGAGGTGTGATTTGACGCCTAAGGTACTTTTAATAGTATTCCTGTGGTTTTCCTATTCAAGCACTTTTTTACAAACTTTGTCTACTCAGAACAAGTCTAATTGAGTCACCAGATCTGCCTGGCAATGTTACTTCAGAACAAATCTGTTGCTTTATTCTATGTTTTTTAACAGTTTGAATTGTAACTGAATGGAATTATGCAAAGTGATCTTTTTCTGCTTGTTATAATTTTAATATGGAACCTGTTCTGTTACTATTGTTGAAGTTCAGATGATGTATGTTATATGGAGTCCTAAGCAATCTGCCTCTTCAAACCCTCCTACAGACACAAAATCTATGGCAGGAACATCTAGTGCTGAGGAGGCGACTAAAATTCTAGCAGAAAGGCGTAGACAAGCGCGTCTGCAAAAAGAATTAGAAGAACAGGAGCGGCGTGAGCAAGAGGAAGCTGAAAAGTAAGAATGTAAAAATATGTGAACGATGAAAGGACATTTGGCCTATCAACTATCTACCCTTCAAAAAGAACGCAAAGCCCATAGACTTTCAATCATTCTTTCTATTTCCTGGCAGATAATATTCCAAACCACAACAACTTGCATTTATATAGCGCCTTTCACGCAGGGTAGAGCCCCAGAGTGCTTTTTCTTAAGGGTAATCAAGCAAAACCTTCAGATTTTTCATTCATTATCTGGATCCACTATGCACTTCTGACATCCTTCCATCCACCTACAGCATCCCACCCCCACCCAGCCCCTAGCTCCAGTAGCACAGAAATTATTTATTCCATTCAATGTTTGTTCATTTCAGCTTGCATCTATGTCCTCCAATGCTGTTCTTAGCTGATACATTTTGAATATTACTTTGAGAATCTTTGGTACGCTTGAAAGCAAGAGAAAATAAATTGCATAAAACATCTTGCTTTACAAATACAATAACTTGTATGCATACAGCTTTGGAAAAATGCTTCACAAATTTTCAAATATCTATATCCATCCTTAATGCCAAATTAAAGCAGGTTTGTTCATAAGTAACTAAGTTGAGATCTATCAAACTAATTTCCCAAAGAAACCTTACAGCCAACAGAGTTTCATCCTATCAATATTGGCTGAATTTAAACCTATGTTCCAAAATTGGAAGGTCAATATCTTCCCACTCCACCATCAATGTAATATTGAAACATTTAAATATGGGTTTAGGACCAATAGTACTGAAAAGCTGCATTGTTTAAGTGATTAACCACCCTTCCATATTGACATGTGACCCATAGGCTACCATAGTATACATGCATAGCTGCATTTTATTTTAGATACTGTATGAAAAAGCTACCGCTTCAGTTACCCAGAAAATATTTATGGACATCTATCTTTGCGTCCATCTCCCCCAAATTTCTGATAGTCAGATTACAAATCGAAATGTTTGGTGCAAATCATTGCACCGTGCTTTGAATAATATCAAGAGGCTGGCACTGTTAAGAATATAGCTATTTCCTATTTATAATCACGGGATTCTTGTTGAAGGAAAATGATGGAAGAACTCCAGAGAAAGGAAGCCGAAGAGGAGGCTCGGCGCGAAGAAGAAGCCCGCCAGCTTGAGGAGAAGCAAAAACAAGAAGAGGCAGAACGCCAAAGGAAAGCAGAAGAGGAAAAAATCTTAAGAGAACAGCAGGAAAAAGAGCTCCTAGTACAACTTGAACAGCAGGTTAGCAAAGGAATTGCTTGCTCATGATTGTTGGGTCCAATATGTAACGATTATGTAATGGGAATTCATAACAAAAAAACCAGGAGTACATCACACTAAACTGTTGGAACTCGCCTCTAATGCAATGTGGTTTTGAAGTGGAGTTCCCATGAACTGCATGATGTATTTCCAGTTACTGAAATAATTCCTGATGGAAATTACTGCTGGATAATATATTGTATTGTTATGTATTTTCTGGTCATGTTTTGCTTTTTCCAATTTTTGCACTGGCACAAACAGATTGAATGAAGTCCTTTGCTTTTCCATGACTGATGTGTGATTTTCCATGGCTGATTGCGATTGTAATATAGATACTGTCTGCAGTTTGAGGATGAAAGCAGGAAGTTTTATTTTTTCATATGTATTGAATTTATGTTTGTTTATATTTCATCAGAGAGAAGAAGCTGAAACTCGGGCTCGTGAGGCAGCAGAACGACACAGACAAGAGAGAGAGCTGCTCATACAACAGATTGAACAGGAGCGCTTTGAGCGAAAGAAGGTAACAAAACTTGCACTTATTTAGCGCCCTCAATGCAGGGTAGTGTCTCAGAACACTTAACAGTGCGGAGCCTGACTCTGAATCGGGGGGAGGGAGAAGGTGCTGTTAGCACGGTCGAAGAGGAAGGTTTTCAGGCGGGACTTGAGAGAGTGGGCAAGGTGGAGGGATTGAGGGAGAGTGTTCCGAGTTTGGGGCGTAGTGGCTGAAAGTGCGACCTCCGATGGTAAGGAAAAAAAATGTAAAAACTTCAATGAGTACTGTGCAAGGTTCTAAGAAAAACTTATATCTTCATAGCGCCTGAACACTCAAAATTTCTCAAAATGCTTTATAGTAATTATTGGCCAGTGTACTGACTATTTTGGTGGACAAATGCAGCTGCTGTTTAACACAGCTCAAGTTCCCACAAAAAGTCTTGAGGCGAATATCCCATTTATCTGAAAGATCGTTAGCCAGGACACCAGGAGAAATTCCCTTCTCTTTTCAAATAATATCATTGAATTCTTAGCATCCACCTGAAGAAAGGCAGATGGAAGTTTGGTTTTAATATCTCTTCCAGGATGACACCTCTGACATTGCAGACGAGTCTCCTCTACTACAGACCAGAGTGGTAGCTTAGATTATGAACTCAAATTCTGACATGGCACTTGTAGTTTGTGCACAAATCACAACAAAAGTGAGAAATGTTTTGTGTCCTGTTTTCTCCAGAGAATTGAAGAAATCATGAAGAGAACCAGACGAAGTGATGCGAGTGAAATTAAGGTATGTCCTCTTTTTTATATAAGTGAAATGTATTCTGTTATTTTTTTTACACTGTAAAGCTTTCCAAATGTAGTTGAATACTGAAATAAACATGTTTCAAATCTTAGTTCCCCCCACCATTGAATTCCTGGCAAAGGAGGGACAGATTGGCAACTTGTAACCAGGTGCCTTTACTGTTGCTAGAATCAGCAAGTCATCAATGTGAAAGAGTCCCAACTTGTGTGTTTTTCCCATTATCCTTTTGGCAATGCATCTGGTTCCACTTGTTGTGTATTCATGACATATGTTTGACATCAGGAGTGGGTAATCAGTAGCACAAAAAGTTCTGTGCCAGAAGAAGCTGAATACAATATTTAAAATTTAAAATAGTTGTGTGTTTGCAACTATTTCAGAAGGAAGAGACAAAACCAGAGATTCAGCCCACTACAAATGAAGAAAAACTTCTTTCAACCACAAACACTGAAGAACAAGGTGAAAAAGGTGAGCAGGGTACTTAAAGCCAACTACATCGAATGATCTGTCTACATTATTTTATTTAAGGGCATATTGTCATACCCTAGTTGTAATAACAAATAGGAGCCAGAAGAATGTTTCAGGGAATGAGATTGGCCTGCTGCACTCTATATTTTTTTGGTAAACATTGAAGGTTTCACAGTGCAGTCATTATGATTGAAAGGAATAGGAGACAGAGAAATATGTGATGGCGGTTACTTGACATCAAACGTTTACTTTAAAAGCCTTGTAGCAAGTAGGAATAAGAGAAAATTGAGTGAGGTAAAGAGTTCCACAGTATTAAAATCTTAGAAAAGTTGTAATGGAGAAAATGTAAGTTCATTTGTTCACATAACTCATTATTTGAAGGTATTACTGCAGTGACCTTTTCGGTCTCTACTCCTGGTAATTGAATGACCCAATTTTGTCATTGATTGTGAACTAATAGTACTTTACTTTTATTGGTTGTAATGTGAAGTTCCAATTTACAGTGAATAAGTTACTAAAGTTGCCACAATGAGACTGATGATAAGCACTTTTTTGTAGGCAACAGTGTAAATTTCATATTCCTGTTTTAGTGGAAGTTTTGAGAACATCTGTCAGTCTGGAGATCAAGCATGAGGAAGAGCCTAACTCCACAGTGCCACCGTCTGAAGCTGTGGTTCAACTGGAAGAGATTCAGGAAATCCAACTGGATAATATCGATGAACAGCCAAATAGTGTTGACGAGTCCACAGATGAGCTGCAGTCTATGGATGTTAGGTAAGATGTGGTGTGTGTTTGTCAAGAGAAAGGTTCTAAATATAAAATGCTGAAGTAGAATTCCACAAGCACTCGGCGTCCTCTGGTATCACCTCCAGTGATTCATATATGAATCCAAACAATGCCGTAACGCTATTTCACTGTGTGTGTGTGTGTGTGTGTGTGTGTGTGTGTTGGAGGAGAGAACATCATAGTCAAGCTCAAAACTGTCCTTATCAAATGATCTTAGATACACACTTTCCAGGAGGGATTACTAGATACCAAATGTGTAATGAAGAATACATTTACAAGACCAATTTTTGAACATAGTTGTGACGTTAAGGAAAGAATTAGTAATTGAAAGGTGATGGTCTTTGGTATACGCATCTTCTACAAATGAAAGGATAGGTCGCTTTGCTTGCTTTATAGTGTAATATTTTTGTTTCCAGCCCAATGTCAAAAGATGATGGCATTTCAATCCCAGAATTCTCCCCTCTAAATGAAGTAAACCATGGGGTTGAGATGGAGAAGGATCAGAATGGAATGAGTGATGCACAGGCTGTTAAAGACCTCATTGACCTGACAGGATGTACAACGTACGCCAAGTTATCCAGCAAGAAAATTAACTTGGATGACTGCAACAGGAACCTGATTGAGGAGCAATGTATGTCTATGGAAGAGAATCCTCTCATCACATCCCTGACTAAATCTGTTGAGGAAACTCATATACACACATCAGCAGGTAAAGTATGATGGCGGTTAATGACTTAATAATGGTCGCTGTAAATTTTTCAGCAATATAATGTTATTTACTTGTAACAAGTAGTAAAAAAATGCACATTGAAAAGTTTTATGAAACCATGAGGAGGGAAATGAAGTATGAGATGTGATAATTATCAAAGAACAGAAAATATGGTTATTTAGTGTCCTTAACCACCTGCCCTTAAAGTAAAATATGGGTCTCTGTGCCCCTTAAAGGATAGCAACTTAACTCTGTAACTTAGGAGTCTTGTAGCATAATGGTTAGTGCGCTTGCCTCGAAAGTGCGAAGACCCAGGTTTGATTCCTAGAAGGGGCGAAACCCTCGGCAAGTTTCCTTACTCCACACCCCTATTCACCTAGCAATAAGTAGAAACTCAGTTGTTAGTCGATTGATAGATCGCTTTCTGTGGATAATAACCCCTCAAAAAAAAATGCAGTCACTCAATCCATGATTTGGGGGTGGGGGGGGTGGGGCTGAGGTAACACCTACTGGTCAGCCTTTAGTTATCAATTGGCTTGCCAACAATTTTCCACCATTTGATGATGATCATCATCATCACATGTTGCAATTTTCACCCCACAATACCAATCTTTTTCATTTTGGTTTATGAATGTTACTGAAAGCTTTGAACAATTAATAAGTTACCTTTTATTTTCCTAGAGCTCTGAGCGTATGATGTGAGATACAAGAGACATTGCTTCAATCAGTCTTCCACTGCTGCGTTTTCGAAGACTTATCACCAATAAGATAAATGTAGCCTTTTCATACATGTTGGAAAACCTTTTAAAAAAATCCTTCATGCAAACACTTAAAATCATCAATATTAATTCCATTTTTTTTTAAAACTTGTATCTATGTTGAATATGGCCAAAATGGTCAGTTACAGCATTCTTGAAACATTCACACTACAACTAAATCTTCAGTTAAAAACTTGTCTCAAATTTGCTATAATAATACTTTAATAATCCCTCCATCAATTTGATGGAATACTACCCACATTTGCAGTTAGGTGTTAATCTCAATGCTATTCACTGAACTTTTGCTGCTATTCTAGTGTTTATGTTCATATTGAAAACTGCTAATTTGCCACAGGAAGTTGATTCTTTAATTGTAGCGTGAATGGGTCTTATAATGATGCACAGTGGGGTTTTTATTGAGAATTTCACAAACCAAATTTGTTAACAATTGTGACTTATGTTACAATTTTGAGATTCAAAAAAAGCCCTGACTTTCAAATCCCAAAGGAGTTTTCAACCTTATGATAGGTTCTTTTTCTGAATCTCAAAATAGTGAATCGGAAACTGGAAGCTGCAATTATCACAACAAATATGGTTTGCGAATATCGCATATCTAAACCTCAGTATCTGGATTAAGGGACGTTGTGTTTTAGAAACTCAGGTATCGTTCTTTGATAACTGAATGTTCACTTTGAAATATAATGTTAATACATTTTATTGTGACATACAATGCATTATTGCACCGTATTTAATTGCTGTCATAATCATGTTACTTTACCATATCCCTAATTTCTAATGGCAAAATGCATTTGTAAACTCCTTCTGTCTTAGTTCCTAAACTTGCATTGATAATAATAATAATTATTGCATTAAGTGTCCAAACATGATAATTTGTTTACTGACCTTTGTAGCCATTAAGATTAAATATTTATAAAGCACTAAGGCAATGTGCCTGCGATGAAAGCACTTCAGCAGCCAAAAAAGTAAAGGATAAAGTGCTTTTGCTACATTTTATGGTCAAATTAGTATAGAAAAGTAAGTAGAAGTTATTTTAAAGATAAACCACCACTTGAAAAAAAAGGTTGATATCTGTAACGAAAAACCATCACATTGAATAAATTCTCAGTGTGTATGTCATACTTGTAAGAAATTATTGGGGTTCAAAATGGTATGTGGTGATCTCTCTTTAACTGTAAACGTTATTGCTTCAGAGCTTTTCAATGTGCACTGTATTTTGCTGGTGTAAGTCTCACTTGTACTTTAGAAAGAACACGAGTATAAAGCATAAACTGCACACATTATTTTCACCATTGCAGAGTAATACTAGCGATATATAGATAGAAAACAGTTTCAGCAAGATCTAGGAAAAAAGGATGTTTCACAGGCGCTCTTTTTAAGCAATGCTTGTTGTGGGTTTTCTTGTACTCCACAGCTACCATGACCATTTCATCCAATAAGGTAATTTTTTTAAAAAACATCTACTTAAGACATTCAAAATACTATGGGCACCTTTAAATGTTCTATATGCCATTGTATGTAGCGCTAAACTACAGTGCTTGAACATAGTTTCCATGGTCCACAGGGAAAAACAACTGCTGCTACAATTTGCATCGCGCACTTTGGTTGTTTACACAATCATCTGATTTAAGACCAGAGGAAATGATACCGTGTCTTAAAATGAACCTTTTCCTCATTTTCTCAGTACAGTATTTGGGCAAGTGGTTGGACTTTGTTAAACGTTAGCTTGTTAATAATTGTTCCTTGATTGCCAAACTGTTTGTACATCTAAAACCTTTAGGAGCTTTTGAGAAAATCATGTTCACCAAAGTTAAATGGTTGAGATTGGCTAATGTTCTCTGTACCTTAGGAACTTATTCTTGCAAAAAAATAGAATTATGTTTTTTTTTGAAAACCTAAATGTGTATGTAGCCAAATTTGCACAGCTGGCTTAATACCACTCTCCACTGCCTCAATACCACTCTCCACTGTCTCATACAAAATACTGCAGCTTGGCTTCTGTCAGGTAGAAGCTTTGCATTTCAGTTTAACAAGAAATTCCTAACCGTAAACAAATTGCAAATACTAGTTTATTGTGTGTGGGTGTGCACACTTGTATGGTCTGGTTAAGTCATGAATACATAAAAAAATCATTTTTATAGCTATTACAGTGTGTTTTGCATGGCACATTGGAGTATGTGTAGGTGATAATCTTGTTTCAGATACCAACAGGCATCACTCTAGCAAAATGATTTATGTATTTATCTTTAACATCTTATGAAACTATATGCTGGCCGTTACATGATACTGTAGTTTGTTGTTGTGTAGTTGCTGATGTGCTGAATAATCCTATCACCATTGTTCGTGTACAGCATGTGTGTATGTAACACAAATAAATTTTTATTCAAAATGTTTGTAGTTATACTTCTTAAATCATCTTTTAAACAATTTTCAAAAAAGCCTTGACAAAACTATAGGAGGGAAGAGTTGAGATTTGTAATGATTAAAACTTTGCTGGGATGGATGGTAAATGTTTTTTTTTAACCAATTCCTCCTGTACATCAATCAGGCTTCTTTTTAAACCTGGGCTTTTGTACAAAACCTGGAAGCACTGAAGATTTATGTCAATTTGAAGTGCAATCATCAGATTCAGTACCATGAAACATTAGGGCACAAATAAAGATAATCTAATCGTTTTAAGCTATACGCTACATAATGATGTTCCACTAATCACTACTAAATGTGTCTGAACAATGTATTAATAGTAAGGTTATAGATTCCTGAGAGAAAATGCACAAAATCTTTTCAACACCTCTGCCTATCTCCGGATCTTGTATAAGATTCTAGCTAAGTTTCAATGTCAATCATACCTGAATCAGCTTTGATATGCTAATTATTTCACTTACATGTTGGCAAATTTTTGGAGTGGAAGTGCTTTCTGAAAAAAATGACATACATTTATATACATATTTCATGTGAAATAACATCTCAAATAGATGCAGCAAGGAAGCAAGGAGTCCAGTGGAGTCCTGTAGCTCAGTGGTTAGAGCACTCGCCTTGCAAGCGAGAGACCTGAGTTCAATTCCAGGCAGAGGGCGAAACCTTGGGCAAGTTTCCTTACTCCACACAGAGCCTAATAATAATCCCTCCAAAACAAAACAATAATAAATTGGTCATTTTCAATCCACGACTGTTTGTGGGACATTGCTGTGCGCAATTGGCTGCCGCGTTCGCCAACAAATATACAGTCAATTCACTTTACAGTCTATTCTGTGAAGCACTTTGGGACGTCCTCCCGACGTGAAAAGCGCTATATCAAATGCAAGGATTATTATTATTAAGGAAATGAAAAGTCGAAAGATGCTCTGTCCTTTTTTTCTCTTTGCTTTAAAAGTTCTTTTAGAAAAAAGCCTTTGGCTAAGTAATCCCATCCCAAGTTCTGGCAAGTAATCCCATTTGATTATTACACACATTGAAACTAGTCGGATGTCTGATACATGTGAAAACCCATCTCCATGCTTAAGCATATCCAGACCACACTGGGAGTTTCATGTATGTATGGCCTTTACACATGGTAATGTCCCTGGAAATGGAATGTGCGCTCTTTCTCAGGAATGTACCATTTACCTAATTCTGGAAAGTATTAGGTGCAGGTCTGCAAGTCTAGGTCTAGAGACTCCAGAGTATGTGTTGGGATACTGCTGCTGTTCAACGAGCTAAAACGATAATTTGCAAATATGAGGACTGTCTGGCAATATTCCCACTGTTTGTCCAGCTAGGACCACCCTACTTGTTAGGGCATGGTTAGCTAGGTGGGAATAATTCCTATTCTAGTGGTCGGTCTACCCTTTTAAGTACTGCCAATGAGCCAGACTGGCTAGTGTTTCATTAGACCAGGCCCTTTGTATCTTCCAATTGTTAACCAATATCTCCTCTTGACCCAGTGTCATTTTGTCCAACTGAGTGTTCAACAATTCAAAATCATCTACAAAGAGAAACACAGAAACAGATTCTATCAGAAATGCCTGGAACAGATACACCAAGCTGTATACATGCAAGCAATTGTGGATATTTTTTATTATTATGCTGTGTTTTAGTGTTTGCAGACAAAAATATAGAGGTCAGAGGTGTACCACAAGGGACATAATTTTTTTATTTTGATACAAGAAACCTAGTGAAAAGGATGAAAAAAAAAATTGAATGGTGGAGCATCAAGTTTGTTTGGTTAGCTGAGTGTCTGACACTTGCAGAAACCCATCACCTCTGAAGAGTTTCCAAATTAAAAAGAGTTCCATGCATCCTACCTCCAAACAAAAATTACAGACATGTTTATTGGAATGGAATATGCACTCTCTTCCTGGAGGAATGCATCCTGTTTACCTAATTCCAGAAAGTATTAGGCACAGGTTGGCAAGAGCCAAAGCTTGGGAACCCCATAGTGTGCGCTGGTTTGGTGTTGGAGTCTAACCAGCTGAAACTGCATAGCTTGCTATTGAGAGCACTGCCAGGCAAGTTCTTTCTTGTTTATCCAGCTAGGACAACCCTACCTGTTAGGGATAATGGCTTGAAGGGTTAATGAGAGCTGAGTCGGTGACTGGTCTGCCTCAGTGACTCATCTGCTTTTCCAAGTCCTGCCAGCAGTGTCCTTGAGTACTGCAGACCCACCTAGATCACGAACCGGATTAACAAAATGGTCACAGAGAGTTGGCGAATGTCAATACTGACATTCCATTATCAAACATGTCACCGTGGAGACACCTTGTCAGCTCCAAGGAAACCCTGCTCAGTTACCACCGCCCCCTCCCTATCAGGATAATAGTTACTGGAGCATCAGTATCTGGTGCAACATTGGTTGAATGTAATAATCTTAAATTTCGTACTGCATCTTTCAGTTCACGAGGATGTATCAAAGTGCTTCACACAATACAGTAATATCGTAAAGTGGTGCGACTATATTTTGGCAGTGAATTGAATGCATCAGGTGAGCTCCTTATTTTATTTTTTCCTGTGCCCATTCACAACAAGTGAATGGCACAGTCCTGTAGCTCAGTGGTTAGAGCACTCGCTTTGCAAGTGAGAGACCTGAGTTCAATTCCAGGCAGAGGGCGAAACCTTGGGCAAGTTTCCTTACTCCACACAGAGCCTAATAATAATCCCTCCAAAACCAAAAACAATAATAAATTGGTCATTTTCAATCTATGACTGTTTGTGGGACATTGCTGTGCGCAATTGGCTGCCGCGTTCGCCCACAAATATACAGTCAATTCGCTTTACAGTGTGTTCTGTGAAGCGCTTTGGGACGTCCTCTCGACGTGAAAAGCGCTATATCAAACGCAAGGATTATTATTAAGTGACACCAAGCCTTGCTCAGAGAGAGAGAGAGAGAGAGATGGCCCAACCAACATAAAGTGAGACACAGGCTCTCACCCTTGAGTGTCAATCAACGGAGCTGGAGTGGGACACACCTGGGGGCGGGGCGAGAGGCGGGGTGAGAGAGAGCACGTGCTCCGCGTGTCACAGGCCCCGCCTCTCGGCGATTGTGCTGGGTCCCGATTGACAGCGCCGCGCACCAATCGGAGACTGGGGGCCGTTGGCTTGTCACACGATTGACGCGGCGGTGGCGGCGGCTCCTCGCCCCGCCCACACACCGCCTCCCTGCCGTTGCCGGCGGAGTCCGCGGCTTTGGCGTTTCGCCGTTTTCTTCCCGAACGAGCCGCCGGCGTGTCGGGAGTCACGTCGAGGGCGGGCGGCCGGGCGGGCGGGCGGAATGAACGACCGGAAGTTGTCCGCGAGCCGCGAACCCGGGCCGAGCGTGGCGGCTGCGCGCGGCTCGGCGGGAGGGCGGGGTGAAGCCGGTGGGCCGAGCCCGGGCGGCCGCGCCACCAGAGGCGGAGACGGGGCTCAGGTGGCCGCTCGCCGCCGGCTCTCTGCGCTGAGACGGTAAAGAGTGTGGGGAGCGAAACGGCGTTTGGTTGACTGATAGATAGGCGGCGGAGAGGCCGCTGTTCGCAGCCTGGAGTTCGGTGAAGGGCCGA